AAAAAAAAAAAAAACGATAGGTCAAGTTCTTGGAACTTTGTTATGAAAGAGATATTTTTACCATAAATATTTATTCTCTTTTTATACTTAGTACGCGTCACTTGTGAGTTAGCAGGTTTGAAAGATAAAACTCAAATACATAATCGATCAGGACGTCTGAAATTTTTTACGCATTTCTATTTTTTAATCTGAATGAGTAACAATGTTTGGCGGAGAATGGTACATCGCTATAAATAAAAAAGGAATCACAGGTGCTCACCAGAATGAGTTATTGCCCGTTCGAAATCTGCAGGACCAGGCTCCTCAGACTTTACGTCTTCGCCTGCAATAAGACATAGTTGTATGGCACATGATTCTTAATATTTCAAGATAAGATTCATATATTATTAGACTCCAGATTTGTATGCATTTATAGGGGATTTCAAAATGCAAAATTTCGTACCATATAAGATTGATGAAATAATAATAAAATTTCATGATATACATAATATAAAAAGGTATAATATTTTCTATGATATTTGGTACATGAAACAATTATGATTTTATTTTTTTAATTATATTGTTAAAATCATGAATTTGTATAAAAATTCGCAATTGATACAGGGTATTCCTAAAATAGTTTAAGAAATGATTTTACATGCAAAAGTAAGTCGAAAAGAAAGAATAACATTTTTTCATTCAAGACTTTATTCACTTCCGAGTGAATTGAGTTTGAAAATTGAAAATCAAGATTAATTGAATTTGGTCTGAATTGATATGAATAATGGATAAGTAAAAAGTAATACAGTAAAATTTTTTCTTTAGAAGATTTTAGAAGAAAATAGAGTTTTAGCATGTTTAATTAAGAAAAGAATTTGATACGTATGTATTTAACAAGTTCTCAAGGGAATGTAAAAATTTTACTCCATATTTCCCAGTTAGTTTTTCACATGTAAAATAATCTTCTTGTAATACAAGAACAGCCGATCTTTAATACCTATCAAAATATTCCACAGATAAATCATTATAATTTAAATGAAAGTAGATAGATTTATACCAATTACCATTTCTGTCTAAGCAGAAATCAATATTAATTTGGACAAAGATATTTGAAATATTTAAATTTTTTAAGCAATTGTAAGAAAAGAAAATCTTGAATTCGTCGTATTAACAGGTTTGGTTGTTCTAGTCTTGATTATTTATTTAATTCTGTTCAGTCTAGAATTAGCCAAATTCAAGCACGAGTGACCAATATTCAAACTCGACTTTCTTGAACTGAAGTCTCGAATAGAAAACTGTTATCCTTACTTATTGTTGATTACTCTTTGGCTAATTGTACCACGATTTTAGGAACACCATGTATATCACTCTTAATATTATAAAATGGCAAAATAACGTACGTTGAAAATATTTGTATCTGAACATCGAAAACAAACCAAAGAATCGTTTGAACACCATTATTCACACGTTAATTGAACCAGTGAATTATGTACGATAAAAATTCCCAAAATTAAGAAATAATCACCGAATCGTTCAAAAATTGTTCAAATGTAATTTGTTTATAAATATAGAATTTAATAATTTATAAACTTAACATTTGCTATTTTATTATATTTGATCAGTATTTTAGTTACTTCAACTAAACACGATTTGTGTAAATGTTACCACGCTGTGGTAACAGATAATATTTATTATTTCAATAATCGAATTAAGTTAATTAGCAATAGATTTTCACTGAATACGTTTCGCTAATCACTTTGTTAAATCTATATAAATTGAACTATTCGTTGCCATCAGTTCGAAATTGCTTCGTCTTTCTCAAATTTGAAGGCAATTAAATCATGTAATAATGTCATATGAGGATGTAGGGCTATCTCTTCTTTGTAATAACGAAAGAATGAAAGTAATTTCGAACTGATGGCAGAATGTAAAATTAAACACTGCGGCACTATGGTAGATTTTAATGGTGAAATGATAACGGAGAGTGCTCGACTGAACAATAGTTGCGATCCAAACAGAATATGTACATACATATTGTTTACATTGGTGGTAGTTCGTTAATTTGATGTATCTATCAACACATATTTTCTTTGTTCGATATTTCTCAAATTCTTGTAAATTAAATACCTGGAATATTATAATTTTATTTTATATTTTAAGAAAAATTTATATTTTATATTCTTATAGTTTACTCCACGTTCATTTTAATTGCAGAGATGATATGATGTTTCTCTTATATTTTATTTCACCTTTATTTTAATTAATTACCTTGCAAATAACGATACAGTGACGAATAAAAAAAAAAAAAGTTCTAAAGGCTAATGGCGTAATAATGGCGTAAATAATAATTCAAAATTCTATAACGTGGAATCATCGTTATATAGTTACCAACAGCAATGATATATGCACATCTCAGGATAAAATGTTGATAACAATTTTAATTTAATTCGCTTTTTTCTTTATATATTCATTTTTTATATATTTATTTTACTTTTGTTATTATTACCCTGCAAGTTTTCTCTTTTATTTTCTTTATTTCACTTCTGTTTGAATCACTATGCGAGTACATTGTTCATGAGCTTGATCAATTATTTGCTTAATAAAAATCGAAATATATTGCTACGTTAGTATACATTCTTATTCATAATTATGGCGTGATAATAAGCAAAGCTTATCAGCCATGAAGTGTGCAATTACGATATTCAACATTCTGTTTCACGACAACTTATGGAAAAACACTGAATCGTAATTAATTATGTATATGCATAGACAATTCTAATGCTATAAATGCAGAATTTATACTATCCTTATAACAGCAAGTACAAAATCTAAACGAGACACATGATACGTAACGTCACACGCGCTAAAACATTATGAAACACTGAGACAAATTCTGTGCGATTGAAATCCCATCAATTTTTACGAGCCAATCATAAAAATTATTTCCTATAATTCAAATTGAAATTTCCTGAAAATTTAGATACATGTTTAGATGAATTTTTATTTCTTGTCCTCAAATCTGATTCGTTTCTGAAATTCAACGAACCTGTATCACAGAGACCAAAATATCAATTTAACGCGTTTATTGCGAGTTGCACGTATTTTTACGATACGCGTGCGATGATTAATCGTGCGTTATTTAATAATACATTAAATTTTGGAAAAACTTAATTTCAGCTTAATTGAAAAAAATTTGATTTCAATTAAATTAAATTAAATTAAATTGGGTTGAATCTGATTGGAAAATTTTAATTAACCCTCAAATGGATGGTTATAATAATCTGCGTCATATGTGCGAAAATTTAGATGAGAATTAATAATAAAATTGAATTAAAAATTTCAAAATTAAGAAACGTAAAACAATGGTGAAAGCTAGATTATTTAATTTAAAACATTCTCGCTTTGAATTTTCACTACTTGAGTTTTTGAGGCACAAATTTATACCAATAAAAGTTCCAAATCGCACAGAAGCTGTATTTTAACGCAAAATATATAAAAATAAGACGATCTCAGTACAACATGAGTAAAATTAGCAGATTAATAACACTTTTTGTTATTATCCCTAACTAAATGAACGGAGTGCGACGTAACATAAATTTGTATTTTCAATTATTCTAATTTTTCAAAGTGGGCGGAAAAATATTGGAATGTACTGAGAAAATATAATATATTTTAACCTGCTATATCTTAAATAGTTAACTTTTACTATATCTTTACTTACCATGTCCCAAAAATTGTAGTCATTTGAAAATTTTACAATAAAAAAGAAAAAAGATTTTTCACGAAAATTTTAAATGGTGAAAATTGTATATATATATATATATATATATATACCTCGTGTGAATTAAATAAATTAAGAATATTTAATTATAGCTACGTACTTTCATAAAATAAAAATTCAGAAAAAGCAAAATAAATTTTATCGTTATCGGTGTACTGTGATCTAAAATAATTGATTCAAATTGATTCAATTGATGAACATAGTTAGGTAAAAATTTATGTGTTGCTGAGTAATATAGTGAAAGTATTAGAACACAGGGGACTTATGAGATATTTTATTCCAAATTTAATTAGCACTGCAACGATACGCGACTGTTATGCTTATATTGATGAAATTTGAAACCAATATGTAAACGTATATTGGAGTTGCGAGATATGTATTGCAAATATACATATTCGGTAAAAAATTAATATTTGATTCCATCCGCTGTCAAATTTCACTCTTGGATTTCTTCCGAAGTGAATTTTTATTTTTGCCAATTATTCGTTCAAATATTTAATTCGAGGGCC